TTTTTTTATCTCTTTTGGTCATTTTGTGTCTCTCCGTAGTCTTTTGTGTCTCTTTGAGGGCATTTTGTGAGTTTTTCTTGGGGGTCATTTGTGTCTTTTTGAAGTTATTTTGTATCATCTTTGGTGGTTTTGTGTCTCTCTATAGTAATTTTGTGTCTCTTTAAGGTCAATTTGTATCTTCTTTGGTGGTTTTGTGTCTCTCTGTAGTCATTGTATGTCTCTCTGAGGTCATTTAGCAACATTTTGGGTCATTTTGTGTCTCTTTGAGGTTATTTTGTATCTCCTTTGGTCATTTTTTAGCTCTCTGTAGTCTTTTGTGTCTCTATGAGGTAATTTTCTGTTTGTTTGGGTTTTTTTGTGTCATTTTGTGTCTCTAGTCATTTCGGGGGTTTTTTGGTCTTTTTTGTATCTCTCTGTAGTGAATTTGTGTCTCTCTGAGGTCATTTTGCATGTTGTTTTTGTCATTTTGTGTCTCTTTACGATCAGTTTGTATCTCTTTCTGTCATTTTGTGTCTCTGTAGTCTTTTTGTGTCTCTTTGAGGTCATTTTGTATTGCTTTGATGTTATTTTGTGTCTCTTTCTCATTTATGTTTCTTGGCAGTTCCCTCACATCTCTTTGTGGTCATTTGTGTTTCTTTCCAATTGATCTGTGAAGGCAGTGGTGTAGTAGTGGTAGCTGATGAGGTGGGTGTACTACTAGGTTGATGAATTGGCTACCGAGGAGGAAGTGGGTTTACTCTCCTATATATCAATGGCATTTTGGCTGATAGGTGGTTATACTGCAAACCGCCAGAAAAAGAGATGGGTACACCCCGTATACCTGCATATGCCCGACACAACACCACTGTCGTTCAGTCATCTATCCATGAGAACAACCATTACTTGTCCATCTTCTGACCTGCCCCTAAACCCTGACCGCTGACCCCAAACACTCGACACTGTTGACCCAGAAACATGGTGTGAGTAAAGAGCCTCTTTGGCAGAGGGGCAGACAGAGACAGGATGTACAAGGTAGCACCCCCACCCCCCCTCCAACTCTCAATAGCACTGTAAAAAAAAATAAAAGCCAACAGAATTAAGAGTTTAGCACCGGGCCAAATAGCTGGAGATTAACAGCTCCAAAAATAGGTGAAATGGTGTGTGTGTGTGTGTGTGTGTGTGTGATTGAGTGAGAGAGGAATTAACAGAGACGAGGAGAGAGACCGATAGAGGGAGAATTGTAGAACTAATTTGGTAATTTGGCCAAGAGTTGAAAGAGCCACTTCAGTCATTACTGTAAGTGCAGCCACAGCGTTTATGTATTTCTAAAATCCATTGACCTAGTTAGCAGAAAAATGAATCTGCTGCTGCACACTGGAGTGGGATATCTGTGTGTGAGTGTTTTACCTTCCACTAGCACAGCAGCTAAGCTTACCAGCGGACCTGAACAGGACTAAAGTTAGTGGCTAAAGTTAGCCCTGTCTGTCACCTGATCCCAGTCAAGGGTCAGAGGTTAGATCCTTTCAGTGGCTGTGGTTGGGTTTCACAGTCAGGTGGCTGTCATTAAACTGCTGTGAAATGTAGTTTCTGCAAGGGCATTTTCAACAATGATCAGATATTAAATATAAAATAGGAGAAATAAAAAGGGGATGCATGTATTTGATATGGTTTTTATCTCTTCTCGTTCAGATGGATTACTCAATACACAATGTGTTTAGGATTAAGATAAAAAATGTAAATGATGATTTAAAGTATTAAAAGGTAGGATGTAAAATGGAAACCAGATTATTTCCCCTTGTCACTTTTACATTAAATGTAATATCTGTGATTAGACAAGGGAGACCAGAAACTTTAGTGGAGCAACATGTCTGGATTACAAATCCTACAGTGCCTCCATGTGGTGAAAGTTTCAAAGAACATTTTCTTAACTCCAAAACCATCACTATTAAAGACTGTGTATTTGATCTCTAAATCCTGAGAGACCAATTAAGCCATTAGACTGTTCAGTAAATGCCTGAAAGAGAGAAAAGGGTAAAAAGATAAAGGTAGGAGGAGATACTGGGGCCAGCAGTGGGAGCCGGTGACACAGGCAGAAACAGACTGACAGCTGAGGTGACTCATGTCTATTTTTATTCAGCCGCATGTCTCTGTGGAAAACAGCTAAACAGACATGTTATACATCTCTTGTTTTGTATCGACAGATTGGAAATCAGGGCTACTGTAGAAGGCTTCTTCATGGCAGCTGTGGAACACTACAGAAAACAAAGCACACACTGCTGCAGAGTGCAACTAGGAAAAAAAGACACTCAAACACAAATCATTTGAATATATATAACAGGAGGAAACACAGTCATAGTAGCGACTTCAAATTTGTTAGTAAAGCAACTTTTCTGATATGATAATGCCGGATGGCAACAGGTACTGTGAGATGTTTACAGATTGTGAAGTCAAATCTGCACCTTCTACACTTTATCATACTTTGGGCCTCAGTCGCAGACAATACGTACACACAAATCTGTGCTCAGACCAAGGAACCAAGGGCGTAATTATAATATGTATTTGCAGGGGAGGGACACATACCCTCAATATTCAAGTGTGCTCAAAATGCCTCACCCCCCCCCCCCCCCACCCCCCACCCCACCCCCCACCCCAATATACTGATAAAAAATTAGATTAAAAAAATAAATAAAAAGCTATACTATGACAGACAACTACGCAACACCATCTGAAATAGTTGTTAGGAAATTTAATCATGATATTAAATGAATTGCCATTAGAAGTACTGTGGGTTCTAGTATTACAGTGTATGTGTTGCTGTAATCCAAGCCGTTGCTCAACTGCTGTGGGAACAATCAATGTCAAACACTGTACCGTCTCGGTTTCATTACTTTAAAATATTTTTGTTAGTATGTCATTAGTATGTCATAAAAAAAAAAAAAATCAATCATACACCAGCTCCCTAAAACTGCACTCACTCATAAAACCTGGAGAATCCTTGATCCAAAAGTTGTGTTTCAAAATGCTTTAAAATGGTCTGTTAAGCTGTGAAGCTTCTAAGAATTCTAAGAATTACCCCGACTCTCCAGGAGGATTGGGTCGCAGAGGGTACTACAGGGTAGAGTGGGGTAGTGTTGAATACATGATTACAGCCCTGGCTTAAACTGTGTGAATGAGCGTTTTCTGCACAAATCACAATTCATCAAAATTTCCATCCATCCATCCATTTTCATTCGCTTATCTGGGGCCAGGTCATGGGGGCAGCAGGCTGAGCAAAGCACCCCAGACGTCCCTCTCCCAGCAACGCTTTCCAGCTCCTCCTGGGGGACCCCAAGGTGTTCCCAGGGCAGATGATGTAATCCTTCCAGTGTGTTCTGGGTCTGCCCTGGGGCCTCCTACCAGTGGGACGTGCCACCTCAACTGACCCCATTCAACACGAAGGAGCAGCAGCTCTACTCCGAGCTCCCTCCGGATGTCCAAGCTCCTCACCCTATCTCTAAGGCTGAGCCCAGACACCCCATGGAGGAAACTCATTTCAGCCGCTTGTATCCATGATCTCATTCTTTCGGTCACTACCCAGAGCTCATAGATAGATGACCATAGGTGAGGGTTGGGACATATGTAGATGGACCAGTAAATCGAAAGCTTTGCCTTCCGGTTCAGCTCCCTCTTCACCACGACGGACCGGTGCAACGCCTGCATCACTGTAGAAGCCGCACCAAACCGCCAATCAATCTCACACTCCATTCTACCCTCAACAAGACCCCGAGATACTTGAGCTCCCTCGGGGAGAGTTACTGCCTCCTCATTAATTATTGCCATAATTAAAATATTTAACTATAAAAACTGAGTGTCCCAGCCCTGGTTTACAGTGGAGTAGCCTATACGAGATTGTCCATACTGAAATGTTATTGACTTGGCTTATAACGATTGGCTGCTCCCATCAATTTCTAGTGCTGTGAAATTGCACATATATAAAAGGTATATAAAAGATCCTTTAGCTCTATAATTTACCTTCAAGCAGGCATTCAGATATCTAGCCTTAAAGGCTTCTTCAGAAGCTGATATAACATGTTTAAAGAGAATGACAAACGTCTTACCAGCCATTTCCGACTGCCAAGACATTTACTAATGTGTGCGTAGATGCAGCTTTATCGCATTCTCCATAATACACCCCAGGCAAACGTTTTCCTCAAATAGACAAATACAAGCACATCAGTCTTGCGCCTGTCAGTTTTGAATGACTCTGGTTCACTAACATGCACACATTGGTAAGAGCGTGTCATGAATCCGATGGTAATGTAGAATTTATACTTCTGCGCTGAATCAACGCTGTAGCTACGCCGTCGACATTGAGCCTACGTCGTAGCCTGACGTGCACCTCCCCAGAAATGTAACTACACGAAGCAGACCTTAGACAGGCCATAGACTTGTGCTAATAACGTTAGCATGTTATATTTGTTTGGAAAACATGTTTAGTATAAGGCAGTTGTTTTGTCAGTGAACCTTGTGAGTTGTAATGGAGCTGAATTTTGTAATGTTACCTTTGTTAAATGTTGCTGTTGTCCCTGGTTTTACATGAGAAGATCTGCTAGCTGCTAGGCTAATTTATACAATGTAAAAGGCCATAGGCTTGTGCTAATAACGTTAGCATGTTGTATTTGTGGGGAAAATGTGTCCAGATAAAGACAAGTGTTTGTCTGTGAATGCTGCGAGTTATAGTGAAGCTGATTTGTGTACTTGTGTTTGAAATGGTCTCTATGTCTCTCTCTCTCTATCAGACACACCACCGCACAAGTATAAATGCTCACAACGGCATAGGCGACGTGCATAAGGTCTGCTGCATAAGTATAAATCCCGCTTCATTCTGCAGGCACTCATATTTTGTGCACAAAGTCGGAACATTTCTAAGCACGTATTAGTGAATGAGGCCAAATGTTTCCATGATGTCCCTTCATCAGAGCCTCCTGTGCTTCCCTTTTCATCGTTTTCCCATCCTCTCCCACACCTCTCTCTCAGCACTCTTGTCTTGTCACATCCTCTATTCTTCTTTTTTTATGTTTACACTTAATTCTTTATCATTCAATACAGTATTTACAGAACTTTATTCCAGCTTCCCCGTGTCTCTTTCTGTCCCTTTCAATCTGCCGTTGATCCCTTTTTTTTTTTTTTTTTTTACTTTTCTCTTGTTTCCAGATCACATTTCCTTTGCAAAACAGTGTTCCCTCTAACTGCAGCCAAATTCATTTGAATAAATGAGTCAACAAGATTAAATTTAAGTGAGAAAATGTGCTACATGGGTGGCTGATACAAACAGATCTTGTGATAAAAACGTGGCTGGTAAATCCCCAAGCTGAAGATCTGAATAACAATATTACAATACTTAAAACACATTTAAAAAATGTTGCTCCGTGTTCCCACAGAGCCGTGGTTAATCATGTCCGCAGCAGAGTCGCTTTAGTGCGTAGTGGATCCAGGGCGCCAGACGCAAGGCTGCAGACCCAGGTTGGAGGTGCTGAACCTGGGTCTGGGGACTCTGCTCGGGTGAGTGCTGCTGGATGCTGGCCGAGAGGCACCAGCGGGGCCGACGGGACTCAGATCTGGGGCGCTCTTAAACTGCCTGTTGGCCTGCGTGTTGCTGGAGGGTGGAAGGTGCAAAAAAGTTGGAGACTGGACTAGAGCAGGGGCAGCAGAGAAGGTGGGGAGCTGAGGGAGTGGAGCAGTAGGGGCAGGGGGAGGTGGGGGAGACAGAGGGGAGGTGGCCCACTGAGGTTGGGGTTGAGGCTGGTAGGGTTGGTAGGGGGTGGGGCCAACTGTGGGTGGGGGAGATGTGACATCAGAGCACCACAGTGGCTCTCCAAGTGTTGTAGCTGATCGGGGTACAACAACTTTGAGTGCGGGCCCTGTGGATATTGGCGGCGGCGTGGAGAAGCGCTTCACCTCATACACCCGTGCTGTCTTCTGAGGACCACTTGTCATTCCTCCCTGCTGCTGATAGGTAGAGGTGTGCTGGGGAACCCCGCCCCCATAGCTGAACAGAGTAGAGTTGAGCTGGTAGGGCTGGTGGCTCATGACATCCACGGACTTGAGGCCGGCTTTCTGACCTTTAGATCCAGCTGGCCCAGACTTTGTCTTTGACACCTCAGGCTTCTTCTGGGCCTTCAGAGGGCAGGAGGGAGAGAGGAGGGGGTTGTAGCTGATGGGCGGAGGAGCACGGATGCTGGATGAGTACTTCCAGGTGGCAGGGAGAGAAGGTGTGGGCGAGGACTCCCTCGTCTGGGCGGGAGAGAAAGGTGCTGCAGCGACAGAGGGAGATCGCTCCACAATGTAGCGATCCATCCTGTTCTGCCTGCGAGCAAACAGCTCACCTCCTTTCCCCGCCAGCTGTGGCACCTGAGGGGTTTGGGGTTTGGGAGCTACAGGAGGTGGCCTGGGTCTTCGCTGAGCCTGCATGAAGTTGCAGGCCTCTGCCCCCAGCCTCAGCCAGTCCTCCTCAGGCCCTGACTCATGCCCGGCCTCCCCGCTGGGCGCAGCTCCGGGCTCGGCGCCTGTGACTTTCCCAAAGTGGTCGTCCATGTTCTGGACCATCGACAGCAAGTCTGGGTTTGGATTAATATCTTTGTTCTGGACTGCACAGAACATCGGCTTCTTGTTGCTACGACGACGGGCTTCATGCAGGATGCCGGTGCGAGCGGCAGGGACCGAGATGCGCTCCTCACGTGTCGCCAGGGAATCGGCGGCAGGAGCCTGGGTAGGTGATGCGGTTGCCACGGCAGCATGGGGACCAGGAGTCACAGCACCTGTCATGTTGATGTAGGGGTGGACAGATGGAGATGGAGGAGGTTGGGCGGGAGGAGGAGGAGGAGGAGGAGGAGCAGGCTGGGCATGGAAGGAGGACTGAGTCAGATCAGGGGGATGTGGAGGGGAGATGGGAGAAGCAGGAATGCAGGTGGAGGGAGGTGGATAAGCAGGAGCAGGAGGAGAGGGGAATTGCTGTGGAGCTGTAGAGGAGAAGGGTTGAGCAGACGAAGAGAATGGGGTGGAGGGGGGAGCATACGCTGCGGGCTGAGGGGAAAATGTGTGCGGATTTGTGGCGGGCTGGGAGAAAGCTGCAGAAGACAGAGAGGAGGGAGGCGAGTTAACAGAGGGGGGAGTGTTGCTGTTGTTATTTCTTGGAGGGATGTACAGGGAGGTGCTAGACACCGCTCTTCTCGCATCTGGCCCTGACTGAAGGCGAGAAGGCTGGATCGTCACCATGGAGACGGCCGCCACAGGTTTGGTCGCCATGGTCATGGCCGTGGGTTTGGGTTGGGGGGGGCGAAACATAACAGAGGTTACAGACGCACGAGGAGCAGCGGGGCCTGGGGTGAAGGGGCGCGCGGTGCGGTTCAGAACACTTGGATTCACGTGATGATCTGAGTCTGTGACTGGACTAAGATTAGGGTTCGGACTGGGATTAGGGTTGCCATGTTGCCCGTTTTGACTTGGAAGGGGCGTCTGAGAGGGCGGTCTCAGAACAACACTAGCCCGACTCACAGCCACCAACCCCCCATTGGTCAGGGCCACAGCTGGAGGAGACATGTGTGCAGGCTGATTACTGATTGGCTGCTTTGTGATGCTGCTCTCCAGCCTTGAGCCCTGATAGGCTGAGCTCTCCGGCCCTGAGACCTCCAACCCTGGGCTTTGACTGACAGAGGTCAAAAGTCCTGGTGTCTGATAAGCTGAGATGTCCAGCACTGAGCTGTGATTGGTTGTTGGCGTTGTTGGAGTTGTTGGTGTGGTTGACGGGCAGGCAGAGCTTCTTCTGTCCAGCAGGTCTAGATAACCTGTGTCCCACGTAGGGTCAAACGATGCAGAGAATCCCTCTTCGTCAACCTCTGATCCACTCAGAATGGAGCTTCCTCCTTCCTCCTCTGTCTCCCCTCCTGTGTCTCCTTCTGTCTCCCCTCCTCTGTCTCCCTCAGCTTTGCCGAAGCAGGTCAGTGTGTACTTCTTGGCCCTCTGCCGGCGTTTCTTGAACATAAGCACCCCCTTCGAGTTGGGGTTGGGAGCATCAGTCAGCAATGAGGCAATAGAGCGGCATTTAGTGCGAGCTTCTTTCACCTGTTTCTCCACCACACTCTCCCCACGCTGCAGCTCTGCAAGACAGGAAGAGGAAAGACACCAAAATAAATGTGTTGAAAGAGAGATGATACAAAGGAGAGAAGCAATCATGGGATTTTTGTTGAATACCTAACAAGGCACAGAGCGACAAATAATGGAAACAACAGCGTGATAGCCCTCTCTGATTGTGAGCAGCTGCTGATTTTTACAGTATTATCACAGCGAGGAGCTGTGATGAGGATTACCAGTGACAGACAGGAGTGTGTGTTGTGGATTTAGAACAAAGAATTCCTGCTGCTTTCCAGAGTTGAGTCTCACACACTGGGAAGGTTAGATCAGAGTGTCACTCCTGAACAAATGCTTGTTTGTGCCTGTGTGTGCGCACGCCAGCATGTGCACATGTGTATCTCTGCTTAGTCCAAAGCTATTTGAGTCCTTTTAGTACCTTGGCTCACCTCACATGAATATCCTCACTACATAACTATAGTCTGATGCAGCCTCTGTGCACACACATCTTCATTCTACGCAGCCAAGCTCACCGAGACATAACAAACACACAGTCCCAATGTCAAACTTGATATTTCAGTTGAAAAGTTCAAACATTCCTCCAGCAAAGACTTCATATAACAAGATGTAAAGGAGAACAACAAATTACAGCAATGTTAATGGCTCTGAGAGCTAAATGCTAACACATCTTAGCGTAGCATATTATCATTTCTAATTAGAAACAACAAACGAGGCTGGTGTTTGGTCGTAAACCCAAGTATTTGTTTGACCCAATGATGGCACTAGGGCAGGAGTTGGCAACCTGCAGCCAGCAGCGGACCGAGCACGCAGGAAAGCTTCCCCTGCACCCCCTGTCCAAAACATATCCTCTATAGTGATTATATTTATTACAAACGGGGACAAGAGCAAATGATAAATCGACATGTATAAACAACTTGGCTAACAAACAATCATAATGAATAAACAATAAAATACAAAATATGGTTTGTGAAAATTTGCAAATTTCGTCTTCTTTTTTTTCGAGCTCGGTCTCACTCCAAAGGCGTTGAAATACGACGCTTGGGAAGTGACTTGTAGAGTCAGACACCAACAAAAAAAGCTGTACTTTATCGTCGGCATGATATGCTGCCGGTTGCGGTTATAGCTAAAACTGCGCCCAGTGGCGTCAGGGGGATATGCAGCAGGACAAGGACGAAACTTAAGGTGGCGAAATTCCGACTAGGGCGGGCAGAAGAGGTGGTGCATGGGTCCAACAAACATGGACTTTCACCTGAGAGAGCAGTGTTTGTGTCCTGTAAGATTCTAAAGCCAAACCCTGTTCTTTTTTCCTGAACCCAACCACGTGTGTTTGTTATTGAAGGAAACAAACATCAATTTGTGGTGTTGTACGGATGTAGTGCGTTTATTTTGAAAGAGACTGTATGTAAACGTTAAATTTCCTGCGAAAACCAAAGTGTATTTTGAAAGAAGACAACGGATGCTACTTGACACGGTGTCCAAGAACGTCAACAACCAACGCACCCAGGGTACTTTGCACGTTGTATCTAGATGTGGAAAGTCCATGACCAAACGTCGATATGTGATGAGGTCGGAGTGAAATTTTGCCTAACCGCAATAGCGATGGCTAGTCTTGAGTCTTGATTCCAAATCCAAAAAAACTGAGAATTATAGTGTTTGGACAGAATCATTTGCTTTCACAGCCAACGCTGCCCAAATAATAATAAACAGCCTACTGCAGAGTAGCCACCCTGTTGTAATACATAGTAGTGAATGCTCATTTAGACCTATTGGTAATGTAATGTAATGTAATGTAATTCAGACCTAATAGGCTGTGTTACCTTTATTACAGGGCTCACATATGTTTTGCGGCTCAAGACAGATGTTTGCTAAGACAAGCTAAAGAGATCACGAAAGTTATAAGAATTCATACCTGAGGGGAACATGAATGTCTAAACCCAAGTTTATGACAAACCTTCCAATAGCTTTGTAGACATTTCACTCAAAACCACAATATGGATTTTACCACAGTCATGAATATCTGCACCAAATTTCATCCCTATCCAGTATGGACCTAAGTAGTGGACTCACCAACCAGCAAACTGACGTGGTTAAACATTTTTTTCATTTATATATCCTACCCATAATAAGCAGCATAGCTTCATCGAGTAAATAAAGCATGACAGTATAGACACAACCTCTTATATGATTCACTTTTACACCCTAAAACCACAAAATAAGACTTGCTAACTTAGCCTCACAGATCAGGATCATCAGTCAAGTCCATTACAGCACAACAATAACAATAACCTTGACGTTTCTCTAAAATTGAAAAAGAAAAACAACAGTCACGTCTAACATGAGTGAATCTGTGTGTACATGAGTATACGCACATAGAAGGATTTTAATGTGTCTTACCTGCGTACACGGTGTGTGGGACTGTGTGTCCACCTATGTCTGACCCTGAAGGAGATGTGAGGTCCCTCATCTCACAATTGTGAGCGTGTGTGTGTCCTTAAACTCCCTCAGACCCTCCCACACACACCCTCGCAGCGTCCAGGTCTGCTCTGAGTGGGGACCTGTTTAGTCTCTGTCTTCCAGCTCTTCTCTCCAGGGCTCAGCCCATGTAAAGACCTTTGTCTGTGTCCGGCAACCCAAACCAACGCATGATGTCAACCCACTATTCCTGTCTGTCTGACAGGCATCAAACACCTGTCCAGTCTCTGTCTCATACACACACAGAGCGACACAAGGACGGGAAGACCCCCTCGCCAGAGGATATTTAGACAGTAGTGTCACTGAGTGTGTGTATCTGTGTGTTTGTGTATGTGTGTATGAGTTCATAAAGCCAATTATAGTTTATAGAGGAGCTCGGTCATAACTCTTTACTGTTGTGCTGCACTCTGCTGCTGCTTACACAGACACAACTCTGTAGCAGCAGAGCTAACAATCATTTAACCAAAGCCAAAGGCAATGCATACGTGTGTGTGTGTGTCTGTGTGTCTGTGTGTGTGTAACGTGAGAAAGGGCAGGTCCCTGAACACCTCAGTCATCATTCATCATCCTAATCATTCATAGTAAAGCCCTGACCTAAGTCATTCACCAGATGATGGCACGCTCATTACTGCAACGTTCGCTCATATGAAGTCACGACTCAGTCAGCACATAGTTATCCGGTTTGATCAGCTGTGATCGTCACTACCTTATTGAAACAATGACTTAACCAAACAAGGATGATGAATCGTCATGGGTTAAAGGAGTAGTTTAACATTTTGGGAAATAGTCTTAGTTTGCAGAGATGTGGACTCACATGCCAAAATCAAAATCAAAAAAGACCTGCACCTCAACTTGGACTTAAACACCAATGACTCGTGGCTTTACTTGGATTTAAGCTTTTTGGCTTGACGATAGTTGATACCTTCCCCCAAACCCAAAGATTAAAAAAAAAATTCCGAACGTGGTCTCACTCCGAAGTCGTTGAAATCCGACGCTTTGGCAGTGACTTGGGGCGTAAGAAACCAACTAACACCGGCATAATATGTGGTCGGTTGCTGTTCTAGTTTAATGGTGCCTGGCGGTGCCAGAGTGAAATGCGGCGGGACAAGGACAAAAGTTAAGGAGGCGAAAGTCCAACTAGGGCGAGCGGAAGGGGTGGTGCATGGGTCCAACAACATGACATGGCGTCCCAGAACGTCAACAACCAACACACCCAGGGTACCTTGGACATCATATGTGGATGTGGGTCCATTACCAAACATCAATATGTGACGAGGATCAGAGCTTTCCTCTTTTTTTAATTATTTAATCAACATTAACGCTAATAATTTCCAGCAAGTCCACACTTAATTCCCCAGATGATCAACTTTGTTTGAAGAAATCCGACAGCTTCCAATCAAATTGCAGGAGAGAACCATAAAGAACTAACACTACATTACTATAACTTTGTTGTATGACGCAGTAGTCAACAAAAAATTGCTGTTTGCAAAATATGCTGGTTGAAAATTACAGATAGACGCAACAACTTTAATTTAACAAAATAATACAAATTTTAAAAAGCATTCATGATTTTGGTACATTTAATGTTTTATTACTCTGTTGTTAAAATGGCATCACATTTGGGGAAGAGAGCATTCTGACTTATTTAGGACCTGGAACCTGACTCTGGACTTGAGTGCAAAGACTTGAGACTTAATTGTGACTTGTAAAACAATGACTTCTTCCTACCTCTGGAAGTCTGATTCCACTTTTGCGTCTTTTCATTTGTTGGCACGTAACTGTTGATGAATTGTCATTTCTACACCTCTGTTTTTGTGCAGATTAAGCTAACGAACTATAACATGTTCATCAGTGAGCTTTAAAGACGAAGGCTGGTAGGGTGACTTTTAGCTGGAGTGGAATAAAAATAACTTAATTCTGGAACGTTAACTTGTAATGTTACTCAATGATCCACATTTAAGAGTACTGTTTGCAGTGGAAACACAAGGGTCTACGTACCATGTCTGAAGGGTTACTGTTGGTTCCAAAGGTACCATACCGAAAGTGTTTGGTGGAAACGGGGCTTTTGTTACCTTTGGATAGGGCCAGGTTAGCTACCATCCAGATATCTGGTATAGATTTTCTCGTATAACTCCCAGCAAGAAGTGTATTTCCAAAAATGTAAAACTATTTTGAGTATTTTTTTAGCTTATAAAATGTCTAAATCTATTGAGAAACACATCATTACGATCCACAAATAAAGCAGACGACTTCAGAATGACAGTTTTGTCCGACCAACAGCCAAAAAACACAATGACATTTGATTTATAACAATATAAAGCAGAGAAAAGCAGTAAACCCTCACATCAGAAAAGCTAAAACCAGCAAATGCTTAGCTTGATTAATGACTTAATTATGATAATTTGCTGTTTATTGACTAATCAATGACTCAACTAATCATCTGAGGACAAGGAACAGAGAAGTTTCACCAGTGTGAAGCCTGCTGAGCACACACACACACTCTCATGCAAACACACACTCATACACCACATAGTCAGCTGTGTGGCCTGTAAGTCAGTGCTGCATTCAGTCTGTCGATCAGAAGCTTCAATGCCTATAAATACAGCGAGCGAGGCAAATGCTCTGAATACTGACAGAAGAGATGGACTGCTGTTTCAGGGGACAGAGGGGGAAGGTGGAATATCTCTGCAGGTATCTGGTGTATCTCACCCAATCACCACCAGCCTGTAAATGTAACTGGATGCTCCAGATGTAGAAAACCACCACTAGAGGGGGATCTAGCTGTTGATAAACTTAAAGACTACACAGCCAATGCCCTCGGAGACACCAGGGGAATCTTTGGAATTTAAATTAATAAGCAAAAACCCTGCAGTCAACACTGAAATAGTTGCATCACCGTGAGAAACTACAGAGGTTTCTGTTTTTGGTTAAAAGCTGGTGTTACATTCTCAAACTTCACAGAAGAAGAAGTTTGAACCCAAACTTACATCCAAGATATAAACTGTATTTAGCGTAGGTGGAAGTGATATCACATCAGTGGCATGCTGCACAGGACTATAATTAGCACTGTAACATTAATTATACATTATTTTCTAAATAACTATGATGACGAGGTATAATTACCGAACACAAATAAGATCATGGTAGCCTTTAACTATTTTTCCATGGCCACCTTAACTTCTTGTCATCACTTCACTGGTGCTGTGTTTGTGTTTTCTTGAGCTTTACATGTTTGAAAGGATTTTACAGTATCAGTAAATGTCTTAATCTTATTTAAGTACTTTTAGTGTCAGGTGGAAATGATTATTGATGTTTAAACTCTTACTGGTAGCACCTGACAAACTTAGATTTGCAGAAGTCAGTATCCTCTTTTACACTGCCTCTGGGTAATTTGTTGCACGTGTGTAGTTTTGTGTGCACACAGGCTTGCATGTTATGTATGTATTTGCAACATATCCTTATACAACTGTTTGTATGGCATCCAATGAATTAGTGCCCAGTTAATTAGCATCCCAGTAAGGTTAGGTTAAAGAAAATAATCGTGGTCGAGCATTGTCACAGTGTTTAATGTAAAGTTACATACTTAACGTAAAGTTCCATGGGTTAGGTTTAGGAAAGTAAAGTTACGTAGGTTAGATTGAGGAAAAGAGTCATGGGTGGGCCTTATTACTTTTCGTACTTGACATAAAGTTACGTGGGTTAGGTTTAGTAAAAAAAACCCTTAGTTTTAAGTAAATTTATGTACTTAAGGTAACTCACTTAATGTTAAGTTAAGTTTAAAGTTAAGTATAGGTGACGTAGGTTAGGTTTCAGAAGAAACATGGTTGGACATTGTCACGTTACATACTTAACATAAAGTTTCGTACTTAACGTAAAGTTTCGTACTTAACGTAAAGGTACATGGTTAGGATTAGGCAAGTAAAGTTTAAAAGGTTAGGTTAAGGAAAGTAATGTTACATAGGTTAGATTTAGAAAAGAATCATGGTTGGGCGTCATGACATGAAGTACTTCACGTAAAGTTACATACTTAACGTAAAGTTCCATGGGTTAGGTTTAGGAAAGTAAAGTTACGTAGGTTAGATTGAGGAAAAGAGTCATGGGTGGGCCTTATTACTTTTCGTACTTGACATAAAGTTACGTGGGTTAGGTTTAGTAAAAAAAACCCTTAGTTTTAAGTAAATTTATGTACTTAAGGTAACTCACTTAATGTTAAGTTAAGTTTAAAGTTAAGTATAGGTGACGTAGGTTAGGTTTCAGAAGAAACATGGTTGGACATTGTCACGTTACATACTTAACATAAAGTTTCGTACTTAACGTAAAGTTTCGTACTTAACGTAAAGGTACATGGTTAGGATTAGGCAAGTAAAGTTTAAAAGGTTAGGTTAAGGAAAGTAATGTTACATAGGTTAGATTTAGAAAAGAATCATGGTTGGGCGTCATGACATGAAGTACTTCACGTAAAGTTACATACTTAATGTAAAGTTACATGGGTTAGGTTTAGAAAAGTAAAGTTACGCAGGTTAGGTTTAGGAAAAGAATCATGGTCGGGTGTTGTTACGTTAAGTACTTAACGTAAAGTTACATGGGTTAAGTTTATGAAAATAAAGTTACGTAGGTTAGGTTTAGGAAAAGAATCATGGTTGGGCCTCATCACCTTACATACTTAATGTTAAGTTAAGTGGGTTAGGTTTAGGAAAGTAAAGTTACGCAGGTTAGGAAAAGAATCATGGTTGTGCGTCATCACATTAAGTACTCAACACAAAGTTAGATTTAATCTTACTTTAGTTAGTTCCTAAAGTTAGATTTAGGAGAGTAAAGTTATGTTGATTAGGTTTAGGAAAATAATCATGGTTGGGCGACATCACGTGAAGTAGGCCTTCTTAACGTAAAGTACTTAAGGTAATTCACTTAACATAAAGTTATGTTAAGTTTAAAGGTAAGTTTGGGCAAGTAAAGTTACATAGGTTAGGTTTAGGAAAAGAAAGATGGTTGGACATTACATTTACATACTTAACATAAAGTTTCATACATAATGTAAAGTACTTAACGTAAAGTTATATAGGTTACATTTAGAAAAGTAAAGTTACGTAGGTCAGGTTAAGGAAAAGAAACATGGTTGGCTGTAGTCACATCACATATTTAACATAAACTTACGTACTTAAGGTAATGTGACGATGTACGTTGAAATAACTCAAAGTTAACTTGGTTTCACACGGTACACAAACACCAGTCTCCTGGGGGAAAGTCCTGTGTTTTGTGGTCCATCCACCACTCCAACCACGGACCTTTGCTCTTTATACTACTTCCATCTTTACTTCCCTCAGTGCATGAGAACAGCCTGGTATTTAGTAACAGGTACACAGTAGTAACAGTGTTTTTGTGTCTGAATTGATCTAAATCATTATGGTTGTGTGTGACTTCAAATGTGTATTTCCTCTTTTTTGCTTGTTAACCATTTTGTACTCTCTGGATAAATTTACTTGTGACAGTGCGCTGTAGTTTTGTATGAAGATATACTCACTGGCTTGCCGTGCTTTGTCCATGTAGGTGGTGGAGAGCTCGTCGCTGACTGGGGTCTGCTGTGGTCCCACCATAGGTACCAGATGTTTACCAGAGCCCGACATCAAAGCCTCTTTCGCTCGTTCTGGAGACACAAGCGGTGGGCAGGCCAGCCCGATGCAGCCTCCTGCCTCCTGGAAGCCACTGTCCCCTTCTCCCTCTGCTTCCATTAACCCCTGATCAGGGGTCGGTGTGAGTGTGTGAGGGGTTAAAGTGTGTGGGGTGTGTGTTGGAGTGGTCCACTCAGTCTGGAGTGGCTGGTAGATGAGCTCTCTGCGAGGGACGCCGACAAGACCCTGACCGTCCCACTGCCCCTGCATAGAAAGGCCTACATCTGTGGCGCTCTCATACCTGAGAGGAAACGCAACAGAGTTTATAACACTGTAGTGGGAGATATTCTTTTTGGACAGGATATGGACAGGAAACCTTGGTTTGATGTTGCAGCTTTTTAAAAAGCTTGATAAAAGAAAAATTTTATGACAGAATACACTGAAAACAGGAAGTCTCCGTTCCTTACCCGCTCATCTCTGAGGTCTCCTCCTCTTCTTGGTTGTCATAGCGCGCAGGTGAGCGTGCATGAGGAGGTGTGCGGCGTTGGCGACGGTGTGTGAGTGACTGTGTATCTGCATCACTGTCTGTCTCTCCGTAGTACGCCTCACTGTCTGGAGGGGAAGTGACGCCCCTGGGGGAGAGGATGGAGGAACAGTGGGAGGGCAAGGGGCCTGCGGGGGGAGACAGGACCCCCGTGGAGCAGTGGAATCCAGGAGGAGCCCTGGAAATACACAAGTTGTGAAAATGTAAAACATGAATCGATTTGTTAAAAAAGAGCTTCACGTTACAAAGTCTGTGTGATGTACAGTATGTGAGTCCATGCTCTGACCTTTTAACCCTCAGGTTGAGTGTTGAGCTCTCTGTGTCGATGAGGCTCATGGCCTGAGCATGACTGAGCTCTGCACACATGTGGTCGCCAATGGCAACCAGCTCGTCATGCTCCTTCAGTCCAGCTCTACATGCTTTGCTACGCCTGCGTACCTGCAGAGAGGACAGGGGTTAGAATACCTGTGGCTGTGGGAAAAGCACGACCTTTACATTCATTTATAGACACATCATTCAACTTTTGACCAGCGGTTCCCCACCTCTTTGACTTGTGACCCCTTACAACAGAACAATACTTGTGACACATTGTCACCCATTATATGTCTATAAGTTATAACCAGGAGGGGGATTTCTTACAGGGAAATATCCAGTAATTCATGTGGTATAAAAGTTAAGATTTAAGGAACTTCCTGTAACTAAAGTCACCCAAAACACCTGTGCAAGGCATACCCGAAGTAAACTGAAAACTGTTCTTGTTCCACTTTTAGTCCATTAATATGCATGATCTCATTTGAAAGGCAACGCTCTGAATTTTTACCCAACAGTCAGAATCACCTCAAGTGAGAAATGTGTATTTAGGAGCTCACTGTATATTAAACACTTCTGGAAAAGAAGAAGTCTGAATTGAATAGACAGTTTTTTTCCCTTAAGACAACAGACAGAAGAGCCATTTGTTACGGGGTTGTTATAACAGTCTGTGATGCCAGGAATGAGTTCAGAACTGCGCTCAAGATCAGGAGTGTCACTGACTACAGGACCCATAATCCATCAGACCAACTGTTGTCTATTGATCGGCTCTGTAACCAGAGAAGAGAAGCAGTCCCATCCTTGCAACACAGGCCCTGTTGGCAACTGGAGGCTGTGGAGAGGACATGGAAGCTGCTATTGGCTCATGTGAGGTGTCAATCAAAAGCTTGTAGTTCAGCCACCAGCATATTTTGTAACAAGTGTGATTGAACGCAAATATAGCACTCAGTGAGAGTTGGTAATGACCTTTATTTAAACACAGAATAAACAGTTCTTCAGGCTCAGAGCCCACACACAGTCTCTGGGTTCAGGGGCCAGGGAACGGACCAGGCCGAACTCAGAAGCTGGATCAAGAACGAGGATGTGAGTCCTCGGACCCGAACAGTTCAGTCTGCTAGCAGGCAGAGGTAACAAACAGGGGCTTACTGATGGTGTGGTTGAGAAGGCGAAGGGTCTGGAACCAGAGGAGCAGTCCAGCAAAGCAGCAGAGCCGACAAGGGATGAGCAGCAGTGAAGGCCAGGCGATGGATCTAGGGGCTGACAGGCCCCTGATCCATCGCCGACAGGTAGGTGAAAGGAGAGCACACACACAAGGCAGCGTGTGACATCACACAGATAGTCTCTGAGCTGCAGTAGACAACTGGCAAGCAGGTGGAAACACTCACGCTGAATCGTCGTTGCAGGAAAACACCACACAGCCACAGGTAGATGAAAACCAGAGATGTTGAGGCAGAGCTCATGGTCAAGGACAGAAGGGTGGTGAGTTCACCGGGAAACAGACGACGAAGACAGGTCAGAGGCAGGCAGGGTCGGAAACAGGTGATCAGGCAGGTAAGGAGTGCTGGAAAGTCTTGAATGAGGTAAAGAACATTCTGGCACTGAGGGAGCGCTCATGAGAAGCAGCTGTGTGCACAGGTGAGTGGAGTTGTCTTGATGAGGGGGGCGTGGCTGGCAGGTAGAGTGGAAAAACAGGGAGAGCAGGGGAGCAGAATGCAGGCTGTGACGTATTTACATGCAAACTGGATTTATTATGACAATAAGAGGAGAAATGTGAACATTTAAAATGATGCAACGACAGATTGTTGAAGAAGCCTGCATCTACTCATGGACGACGGTTAGCTAGCTCAGTGGTGCTCGGTGAGCTAGCAGTAAACGCACACTTCCCTCTGCACGGTGATACGGTTGGCTTGTGTAGTTCGGTTCCTACTGCTCACAACAGTGTCTGCAGATTAATTTGAGTAACCAGGTCATGATTTCTGAAAAGAGACAATGCCGTCGAGCACTTTGAGCACCACTAGCCGAACACTTAGCAACTTACACCAAAATAATCTAGACTGAGGCCATGTTTATACAAAAACTATCAGTTGAAATTTTCGTTTTGAAAAAAGTTCCGCATTTAGATGACAACGTTTTGATAACAATCACCGTGCACACGGATCCGCAAAAATGACCAAAAACGCTGTAGTGTACATGCCAGGCCAGTAGTTGGCGGTGATGTATAAACAAACAAAATGGCAACTGCACAAACGTTTGTCTGGACGGACGACGAGATAGAGTTGCTACAGAAGATCTACACTTTGCTGGAGACGCGTTGATAAATTCAACAGGGTGAGCAGCACAAACAGAGCTCAGGAGTCCACCATTGTTGTTGTGATGGTCGACTTTCTAGCACATTTCAGAGGAGCAGCATATTGCAAGTTTGCATGACAACAGAGACGGAGCTGTTTCCAAAGAACTGCACTCTGGAACCTGTTTTCAAAACATTTTCAGGCAACCAAAACGCAACTAGAGTTTACCGTTTTCCATTGAAATCATTGTCGTATGAACAGGACCAGATAAATAGACCTAAGGGTAAGAAGAAAAACAAGTTGTTTTTTTATTTTGGGGTGAACTGCCCCTTTAAGCCATCTCAGTATCGATATAATGGGCTGTCATCCAGATTATTACTTCAGTGTATTTCCTGTAAAACTCCTACAGGTTGTATGGTGTTAAGCCCCGTTTCGAAACACTTTCAGTATGGTACATTTGGAGCCAACAGTAACCCTTCAGACATGGTACCTAGACCCGAGTGTTTCCACTGCAAACAGTAAATGTGGGCGGGGTTGTTGTCGTCGAATCAGTCTTTGGTGAAATGACCTAAAGCTCAATGACCAGTGTTCAGAAACAGGCAGCTCTCCTGCCATCCTTGTCCCTGTATCAGAATAACTCATGAAGTCATGCAGCTGTTCCTGGAGGTCGCTAAGAGATGATGTCATAGGATCATTCAGGAAGTATGTCTGTGGTGGGGGGGTGGGGGTGGGGGTGGGTGAGGTGAGTATTCTTGTCCACTAGATTGCAGTTTCCTCTATAAGAAGATAAGGCCCTCAGCTCAGTCTCCTAACACACACACACACACACACCTTATCACTGTGAAAAATGTTGAGGGGAGGAAAGTGTGTTCTCGCACCTACTTGGACTCTCAAGAGGACTCGGTATTCCCCTTTATCAGTGTCTCTTGACCCAGTAGTCCCAGTGTGGCAAGCACATGCAAGGACGAGCTGTCGATCTCGTACTTTCCCCCTCAGACAAATGTACACACATATACACACACACACACGGCACAATCATGAAAGAGGGGGTTTGAACAGCTGCATCACCGTTCTGGACTGAGGGGGATGCCTGTCGTTCACCATGTGTTCCCTACATACCCAAAATAAAACCTTACAGGAAAACTGACCACATTCCTAGACAGACAATGAAAGACAGGCACTACTGTGACGAGAAACAAAAAAAATACTCACAATACTAGAATTAAAAACTTTATGAGATGTGAAAGTGTATGAGTGTGTGAACAAGAGGCCTTTTTCCATGCTCTGCTTCCAGCTCCTCTTAAATGAGCTATTCTGATCCTCTAGTTTGTGCTCCATTCCCAACCGGGCTTATCTGAGGTATGCTCAACCTCACACACACACACAAATGGCAGGTCACATACATACACCAACAAGAGGAAGCACACACTGATTAAACTCTCATCAAAGGTGACCTTATCTGCTTGAAAATCCCGGATAAAGAGTAGCCTTTGGTGCCAGAGACACTCCACCTCCATTTTGAATCAGAGGTTATGACAGCTTATGAGTGACCTGGCAACTTTTCATGTCAGTGTGAGCGAGGTCGCATTCCTCCTCTCCAGAATAGATTTTCTTATTAGAGACAACATTCTGGTCTGTCAACAAACATAAACACAGATGCGAAAAGCTTTTGGAGAAACCAGACGTGAAAAAAAAAAAAAAAAATCCCGGGGCTTTAAATTGGATTATTTTGTCTGAAAAATATGTGACAACGACAAATCTTCATTGTCAGCCATGTGTTATTTTCACTGTGGATTAATATGTCTGTTTTTGGATTAAGGGGCATCTATTGAAAGATATGGAATACAGTATTCCTGTCTGTGTTTTCTGTTGTGTATAATCACAGGAAACTAAAAATCATTTTGTTTTCGTTACCTTAGAATGAGCGGTTTATGTCTACATACGGAGCTGGTCCTCTTATAGGGAGTCCACCATGTTTCTACAATGGCCAAGGATGGACAAACCAAACACTGGCTTGGAAAAAGTCACTTACATTTCCTCATTTTTGCGTCAGCCTTGATAGTTACACTACACATTTGGCACGCTTGCTAGATAGATGCCAATAAATCCTACAAACTGGATAAAATACCAATAAAGTACTTGATTCGATACCAATAATGTAAATGGAGTAGCATGTAGTGTAGCTTTGCTTTCGAAAGTTTTGGTGACATCTCGGCACGCTAAACTGACAACTCGGTCATGGACATCATGCTTGAATTCACCACACCACCAGACTGTATGGGTTATAGCTACTGCTGCGGGAGTGTGAGCTCCATGCTGGGGATAGTTGGTGAGAGTCCACTCGGATGCACACACTCAATGACCTGGCTAACTGTTAGCATTGCATGGCTAACATTTCCTAAAGGTTATGAACAGGCTGAACAACAAAGTCGAACCATTTCGGTGTGACTTTGTTTGTGACAGTTTAAGGGCTCAGTGTTGGATGTTAGCTGCTGCTGCTGTGTTAGTTCGTGCTAACCAGGCAGATGTTGACTGACAGTTCGCGCAGGGAGAGTGGCTCCTGAGACAGCAGCAACAGAAAGTTTGCTGATCTGGCGGGGAGTCTTGGTGCAAAAAGGATCCAATGCAGGTATCATGTGACTGGAGACGTTACGGTACCTTGGTACTGGGTTATTTTTGTTTCATATCTTAAAAGTATCGAGCCTGAGAGTGATATTGGGTGTTGTAAACATCGTAGTGCACGCTTAGATTTAGTATACTGCTGTCTTTATACATACCATCTTCTTTACACATACTTGGTGTTTACAGTATTGTTAAGATGTTCTGGTATCAGGTATTTGCGCGTGTTGACACTGTTCAGGCAGCTGGTAGTTCTTGTGGTTGAAAAAATAATAACAGGAGAAGAAGAGAGAGTCGAGCTTGCATAGATTTGACTGATCTGTGTTCGGACTTAACTAAAGTTATGAGGGAAACCCAGAATGTGTTGGATTGTTTTATTCCTTCTCAAGCACCCATGTTGCTTATATGAGCACAGACACCCAACCCACAACCCAAAGACATTTAGCTTACTCTCATAGAGGAATAAAGAAACCAAAAATATCCACATTTAAGCAACTGGAATCAGAAAAAAGTGACTTTTTTTCCTTAAAAAATGACTTAACTTTGCACAGAGATGCCTCTCCTCATGAGGAACAAATTTGCCTCAAGAGCCCATAACTACTGGTTATATAGATTTTCCACCATTTTGGATTTTTTGAAAAACACTTTAAATCGATCTCTTCCTAGGAAGTTTGACCGATCTGCATGAAACTCGGTGAACATAATCTAGGGACCAATATCTAAAGTTCCCTTTTGGCAAAAGTTGGAAAACTTACTAAAACTGAGCTTCTATAAGGCAATGAATATTGCGGAGGGCGTGGCTCATCACATAAAGGTGTATAACATCTCAAGGGTTTCACCCATCACCACGCAACTTTGTAGGCATATGACCACACATAATCTGAGGGGACCCCTCCATTATTGACCCCATCAAACAAAATGGGGGCGCTAGAGAGCTAATTTCTTATCTAGGCCAAACCGCCATATCGATTTTTACTAAACTTGGTAGATATGTAGAACAGGACGCCTCAAGGTGACTGGAGAAATTTAACTCTAATTGGCAACTGGGTGGCGCTATAACAACAGAAAAATGCTTAAAAATGGCTAAAATGCGACCGATCGCTGTGGCTCCTCCTGTGGACCAATGTTTGTTTGTTTTTCTAATTTTTGGTATGACTAAGTCGTGGTATGGTATGCTGTACATAATCACAGTCATTCTGTCTGTCCCACGTTTTTCTACTCACTGACGTGGTCAATCTATGTGAAACTGCACATAGGCATTGAGGATTGGCATAGGTAGAAGTTGACAAAGCTACCAATGGGTATGGACTAGTTAATTTAATAGCTGACAACTAATCAATCAATTGTTGCACCTCTAGCATGTTGCATATGTGTAATTGTGCGCATACAATGGAATGTGTGCACATGTATGCACTGTACAACGACCTATTTAAAAGAAACTCCTGCTAGTCTTTGATACTCTACGATCGCCATCAGGATGCAGCAATGAAACCTGAGTCAAGATCAACCCCTAAACATGCTGTTCACACTGTTCTCCAACCCACAAACCCAGATGAATCACAACAGGGGAAACCGAAATTGGCTGCAGCCATATGAGTACAAGAAAACTGTAGTGTATCCCAGAGGTGCTG